CCCATCTCACCCGTTGTGTGCGGCGATGCCGGCGGCTCCAGGACCGGAGAGCTGCCACACCAGTACGTGCTGGAAGGAGCGCTCTCCAAACTGGGCGGGCAGGTACCTGTGGAGCTGGGGTCCCGCTTCCTTGTGCTGGGTGTTTGTACGTCTCTAAAGACAGGTCTCTCTCACCAAAATGGATTGTCTTGGGTTGGATTAGAGCCTCTTTATCCCAGCTTAATGTATAGGAAATCCCAGAAACAGCCCTGAAGGAGTTTGCTCATGAGAGCTTATCCGTGCTTAAAGGTTGCATTCATTTAGCGACTTCTGCATCCATTTTTAGTTCAGGTCAGCGCAGCTTCATGGACAGTGGAGACTTTGTGTGGAGGAAGACTGTGCGGTTCTTTGTTTTCCCATTAACTCATCCAGTTGGGAATTGCAGCCCTGTGATTAAACCAGCACAGTACGGACTGGCCCCGAGGTGCTGTTCGAAGATTCTTGCATTCACATCTGCTTTTGGGTAAAAATTGGCCCGTTTGAGGTTAGCCTGCGCTATTGTGTGTCTGAAAGCAGGAAGGAGCAGAGAATCAATCACGGGGGCTCCGTCCCAGCGAGCATCGCAGGGGTACGCAGTATGTTTTACCTCCTCCTCTCTTCTCGCAGGGAGTGTGGCAGCAAACATCCCCACGTGTGCCATCGGCAGGGACCGCTGCAGCGCGCAGCTCGCCCTTCCTGCGGGGTGCAGGGAGTTGCACGGCGCGGCGGCAAAAGGATTTAATTACCCAGCATATGGAGAGCTAAGGCAAGGGCTGGACCCTGCTCAGAGCCACCACGGAGAGGCGGAGGGCGGTGATGACAGCCCAGTCCATCGCCTGGTGGTGTTGGAGTTGAGCTTTCCCCCTCCTCCTCTTTGCATTTTGCTCAGTCAGTAAATGGCTTCGTGTAAACTCTTCCAGAAGCAGCAGGCACGTTCGTGGGCAGTCGGTCCGTGATCCGTGTTTATCATCTGGTGTTTTTGTCCGTGTGGCATTTGTTTGGGTTTAAAGCAGGAAAGCTGGTGCATCTGCATTGCTGGCAGTGTGTACAACAGCCTGACTGCAGGCGAAAGGACGTGGAGACTGGCAGGGAGAAGCTGATTACTTGGGGGTTTTTTTCCCCCCGATATGTGGACTGGAGCTTGGAGAGTTATTTTTAGTAGATAAGAGTGGAAAAAAAAAAAAGTCAAGGCTGTGCTTTAAAACTGTAGCATCCATTGCAAGTACCAATAGAAGCTCTGAGGGCGGTGGGTTTGCATTAAACGCTCCCTTCCGCCTTCATTAGCTGCTGGGACACTTAACAAGGACATTTCAGGATTGTGATGCCTGTGCTGAAAGCATTGTCCACCCTTAGCCAGGCTGGCCCTGAGCACAGAAAGCTGCGTATCCGCACCGCCGACCCTGGGAACAAAGGATCCTCCTGAACCCAAACATGTTTGTGTTAATCCCGGCTGCTTCCTGGCGGCCAGCGAGAGGAAACGGAGCCACTGCCTCCAACAGATGTACGGCGAGGAGATTACAGGGTGCGATTAAACACCCTCTCCATCACATCCTCCTCGCCGCTGTCCCAGCCCGGCGCATTAATGGACTGTCCCAGGCTGCCTGCCAAGTTTGGGCAGATGTAACAGGCAGCAGATATTTAATCTCCTGCATCCGTGCCTGGTTTGGAACCGCTCGCTGATGGTGTGGCTGGTGTGGCTTCTGCAAACACGCTGCCCCTCGCCCCAAAAGCGTGAGCGGCGTTGGCCGTGCCTGCCTAGGCGTATGGAGTTCACACCGTGCAGAAACAATGAATTTAACTGAAAAACTAAAAACGTGCTTTCCACTATGCTGGAGGGGTTCAAGGCCAGGCTGGATGAGGCTTTGAGCAACCTGGGCTAGTGGGAGGGGTCCCTGCCCCTGGCAGGGGGTGGCACTGGATGGTCTCTAAGGTCCTTCCAACCCAGATCATCCTGTGGTTCTGTTCAAGTAAACCAGGATTTTCTAGTGGACGGGATGCTGGAGGAGAGCGTGGGCAGGGCCTTGGTTTGGGTGGACTGCCTTGCTTCTCGGCTGTTAGGTTTGGAGTAGAAGATTTTGGGGCTGGGAAGGGCTCGTTCCCTCTTTGTGTGGGTTTAGGCGCTGCCTTATTGCTGTAACCGGTCTTAGTGGCAAGTGCTGCTCTTACAATAGAAATAATCTAGGCTGGTTGCAAAAAATCAGCCATCCTACTGTCTGTTTAGGTTCATTAATATGGTAATAGCAGAGTATGTTTCCTTATCAAACAAAAAGCTGTTTCTGAAATAAAAGAAATCGCTGTGGAAATTGTAGAGATCAGAATTGTCGTCACGTGAGTCATGCAAAACCCGTATCAGCCAAGCGGGTTGAGTTCGACTAAGAGTAAAAAATCTAAAAAGGTCGCTTGTCTTTTCTCGGGTGAGAGCTGTGACCTCAGTTACGGTGCTGGAGCAGTCACCTTTATCTGAGCTGTGGGTTTTCTCCCTGTTTTTGCATGAAGGGGTCCAACACAGGTCCTGTAACTGCCAACGACATGACATTGTCTCGGGTAGAACAAGGGGAGAAGTCGCGTTGGGTTCTGCTGACGGCACGGATATTGTCCATTTTTCCCCTGCCTCTGCTCCGAAGAGGACGCGGCTTGATCTGAAGCAGTGACACCCAACGTTAGGAAGCCGTGGGAACGTCTCCTTCATGGGGTGCGTTGGAAGGGGGAAAGCTGCCCGTGGGTTCGCAGCTCCCCGTGGCCGACACGTCTTGGGAGCGATCCCAGAAATGCGCACAGCTGCGATGGCACTGCCTGTGCCGCCGTCACAGGAACGCGGGGAACCGGATCCCTCCTGTCTCATGCCATCCCAAGGCGGCTGGGAATCCGCATCGCCGTGCCTCTTCCCTTTCTCCTTGCCTGCCCAGGAATCCCTTTTCCCAAGTGTAGGAGACAACTGTTTGGCAAATATCAGCAGGCTCAGCTCGAGGGTGAGTTGTTTTCAAATAGCTGCAGCGTGCAAAGGGACGATGGTGGCAGGAACAAATGGCAAAGGGAATGACTTGGCGCAAAACATAAGCGGTATCATCTGCTTCAGAAGGGCATCTTTGCTAATTCGGCACCGAAGGAGGCTCCTGGAGTTAAAGTAATTGGGAATAGTAGGCTCCTGGCTGGAAAGTGTGCCAGCCCTTCTGGCAAAAAGCTGTTAAATCTTTGTTGCTGGCGTGTGAAAGTGGTTCTGTGTAGCAGGGCTCCAAAGACTGGTTTTAACCCTTGATGTATGTTAAAATAAAAAAAAAAAAAATTAAAAAAAATTCTTCAGCACTTTTGATCCTGACATGGCATGTAGCCAGGTGTGGAGAATAAAAAGGGGAAGATGGTTCCTCGTCAAGGTATGTGAACGGCTCCCAGTCCGATCCTCCTGTGCCGATAGCAGCCAGACGTAACCTGCCAGCAAGCGCACGCAGAACGGTGCCTGTGTTCACAGCTTGAGCGGGAAAACGCAGGGTATGATGAATGATTCATGAGGATCAATAGAACCAAGGCATTTACTGCCCCTTAAAACCAGTGCCTGCCTGCCAAAGGGTGCATTTGTAAGGTGAGTGATGACAAAATCCTCTGCTGAGCTTTTGGGACGCAGTCACACGCTTGGCTCTCACTACAGCCCTTCCCCTGCAGTCTGCAAACATCTCCAGCTTGCCAGCCGGGACGAGGAGCCTTTAATTCTCCAGATGAAAGCACAAGCTGTTACACATCTCCCAGCGAGCACAAATACAAACAAGTCAGCGTTTTGCACCCCCTCCTAGGGGTGGCTTCCTTGGAAGCTTTGGGCTTCATCCTGTTCGTCTGATTTGCGATCGAAAGCGTGTTGCTGCCTACGTGTGTCTTGAAGCAGTTGCTTCTATCATATCTCATCTAAATGCCCAATTTCTTCATTAAAATAAAATGAAGGTAATGCAATCAAAACAAGATCTCTCTCTACAGTCATCAGCTTTCACTGGAGTGCCACTGGAGCTGGGCAAAGCTCCTTTGGGACCTTCTTCAGTGTGGAGAGGAAGAGGATGCTGCACAGCCCTGTGGGTTTTCCTGCCAGGCGGAGAAAGTTGGATTTAAAATCCTGAGCGCCAGCCATCCTGAAGATGAAACAGTTGGATTGCAAAACGTGTCCTTTTTCCAAGTTTGATTTGGATGTTTTTTCATCTTCCTCAAATTAAAGGAAAATCTCTTGTTTGACCCAAAACAAAATGATGTTTTCTTTGGACAGTCAACCAAAAAAATCAACCCTCTCCCCAGTGTTAGTCCAGGTTCCCTTGGCAGTAGTGCCTGCAAGGCTCTCCTGCAGCTCTACCAGTCCGGGATTGCAGCCTTCTTCCTAAAGAGTTTGTAAGAACAGGAGGGTTCAGTCGCTTGCTCGAAGTTTAGGTCAGCTCTTCTGGTTAAATCCATAAATATTTGTCCATATTCCACCTCTGTTTTGTGGACGTTTGGCCACATCCTGTGTTTTTAAGCTGTTTACTCATGTAAACTTCTTTATTTTGTGAGGTTTTACAAAGCACAGGATGGATTTGCTTGTACCCATGGTGAAGCAGAGTTTTTGATGCAGCTGCAAGGTTTCCATCGCCCGCTGCACTGGAAGCTCTTTGTATGAAGGTGGAGGATTTAGATGAACTCGATGTCCTTCAGCTCCGTGTTTTCATCTCTGTAGTGTCCTTGGGGAAGTAACCAGAGAACCTGGGAGCAGTTCCGTGAGTTTGGGGTGAACTAGGATTTATGGACTCATTTTGTACCTGGGTTCTTGTGCCTCAGAAAAACCCTTGGCTCCTGTTGTTGATGGTTTTACTGGTCTCTAGTGGAGGACAGCCCTGCAGACCTGTACTGCCAGTCCCGTCCTCAACTGAGAACCTGAGCGTGGAGGGGGAAGAGATGGGAATTTTTCCCAGTTCCTAATGGTGTTAGTGGTGTGCTGGGTCTTGCCTTCCTTTAATGCTTGTTCTCCTCCTCAGGAAACGTGTCGGAAGTGCCAGGGGCTGTGGAAGGAGCACATGAACCTCACCTGTGAGCAGCTGGCTGAGAAGGACGACATCAAATACAGGACATCCATGTGAGTAAACTCCACAACCAGGGAAAAACGGGGGAGTGGATGAGCTCGTACTAGTGCAGTACACCAGGCAACACGCTCTGCTGGGGAGGGAGCGAGGAACCCTGCTGCTCTTGTGCCCAGCAGAGACCCTGAAGTGCTGCTGGGTGTCACTGCTGCCCGTCAGGGAGGTCCTGGGGATGTCAAAGCTGAGCGGTCAGAAGGCTCCCAGGGTGGGATTTCTTTCTGGGAAAGATAACTTGGCAGCGGAGCCAACTGGTAACTGGAGAATGTGGGAGAGTTGTCACCAGAGCAGCCTGTTCCTCTGGCTGGCCCAGTGTCTGGCACCTGGCCCTGCTCAGAGGTGAGAAACCCCCAGGAGTGTTGCTTCGGGGAGGAGAAGGGAGGTGTCGCGCAGAGGCAAAGAAGTGGATTGAGGCACAGAAAGTCATTACTACCTGTAGAAAATCTGGAGTGGAGATCTAGAGGTGCGTGGTTTGCTCAGCTACTGCTTTATGTCTTTTCTTACAGATGCTTGTCCCTGGTTGTAACCAGTTCATAGTTCTTCCAGAATGGAGTCACATTTTGAAATACTCAGGTGTAAATCCTGAGTGTTTCCCTAAAATCTTTTGATGTTTGATCTCTCTCATAAATGACAAATCCTCTGCCTTTAGGAAATAAGGGCAGGTTCATCCGTGGAGCTGCATGTCTTGTGCAGTCAAATGGGGCTTGCCCACATTGCCCAATCCTTTCGCCTCTGATTTCGAGGCTGTCTGGCATGAGTAGGGGTTGGAAAGCTGCACTGCTGGGAGGCTAAATGACTGTTGCTTGCTCATCCCACAGTCTCTAATTCGGAACAAAATCTTTATCTTTTAATTCGATATGACTCTTTTCTCTGCCACTCCTTTCCCTCTAGGAAAGAGGGGTGAGAGAGAGGAGGAATGAGTTTGTCATGTCCCTAATAAGGAGAAAAAAAAAGATAAGTTTCAAAACCTTTAGCAGAACGTTGCTGTGGATAGATGAGTCTAGCTGCCTGATACAATAAAAGCTTCCTTTTGAAGCCCTGCGTAAGGAAAGGGAAGCACAGCTGGAGTTCAGGCTAAACTTCCTGCCTTGCTCAAAGTTTCCAAAAAAAAAAAATCTGCATCAGCAGCATCCTGTTGAGCAGCGGAGGGAAGAGCAGCTGCAGCTCAGAGGAAAGTCACTCTCAAGCTTTTTTTTTTTTTTTTCTTTTTCTCTATTCTTAGCATATTTCCTAATGCCTGGGTGCAGGTCATGCCAGGTATAACCCCGTGGGAGCCTTGTGTGGCTGCAAGGCACCCGAAATTCCCACCTCGCTGTTCCCTGCTCCTCTGGTTGTGCTGGGGCTGTGCTGTAGCCTGGGATCCTCCTCAAAAATATCTCCGTGTCATCTCCCAAACATACGTTGAGTTTGCAGGTCCACTGAAGCCGCTGGGTGGAGATGCCTGGCAGGGGAGGACGGTTCCCTGCTGTCAGGTCAGCACAGCCAGAGAACTGTGCTTCCCTCGGCGAAAACCCACTCTCTTTACTCCTCTGTCATCAGATTTCACTTCTAGGTTGTGAATTAAATTGTAACGTGATCTCCAGCGGTCAGAAAATTGGCCCTTAGGATGACAACTTGCATTCTTAAGTCTTTTAATTAAATGACTGAGGCTCTCGGTTGCTGTGCCAGAACAGCATTGCCACGAGCTGAGCCTTTGCGCTGGAGCGCGTGTCGCTGCCAGGGTGTCTCTTGGGGACGGGGACTGCGCTTTGTCCTGGATTCCCATTTGTGTTCCATTAGAGTAAAACCTGTCTCTTGAACCTCCAA